CGCCCACGTAACAGCTGACTCAGAGTCTGGAGGTGCGACTTGAATAGTAGTATTTTTAAAGTCTTCCAAAGTGTTTGTTTCCATTGTGCAGTAAGGTAAAAAAAAATCATTGCATTAGACTTTAACCCCTATACTGGGAATACGTTTTTTCTATCTCTCTAATCATTTATGTAGGGTGGCGCTCTGTACCAAGCTCAATATGTGTTAGTCTGAGGAAGAAATCCATGAATTATGCAGAGCGTGAACATCATCTTCAAGGTGGGTGGCTCTTCTCCTTGCCACAGATTTTCCTTTGGCACTGACTGCGTGCCGTGGCAGGGTGCGGGAATTACAGGCCTCTCCAGGCTGGGCCCTACCTAACCCCTGACTTACATCCCTCATAACACAGAACACTGACTCCTTGGAAAGTGCTCTCATTTATGGGAGCTGCTACTAAATAACAGAGAGAGGTCAAGAGTCAGTATTGAATTACACCAAGGGAAAACAATTCAGCAAAAGGAAAAACCTGAAATTGAAAGTAAATCCAATGAGCAGCTCAGCAAATGGTGTGATTTTGTTAATAAATAATTTGATGCTTAAGGCACTCTTGCATCCATGAAGATGTGGTTAGGGTTTGCGTTTGATGGCGTCAACATTTCCACAGCCCGACCTGTCATTCAGAAGCGTGGAAAGTGAGCAACCCCGCATATATGAAGATCCACATTATACTCGTATCTGTTAATCAACGAGTTCCACTTACAAAGCTTTTCTTTTCCAATGGGAAAATTGGCCTACACGTAAAAGTACTCATGGCAGAGTTATGTTGGGGAAAGAAAATCCAAATGACTTTCAATAAGGGAAGATTAATTGAGTACATAAACTTATATCCAAGGAAACAGATATTTTGCCAGGCCTTGAAATGCCAACTGAGAAACTCCATAGCCACAGGAAAGCTGGCCTTGGTAAGTGACACAGTCAGGTCTATTATTTGCAAACAGTGACTGCAGCGTGGATACGAGTGCCTAGGGTTTGAAGTGTACTGAGTGATACGATGTTTAATTTTTTCCCCTTTCTTTTTCCTTCTTATGCGATGTAATATTGCTTTACAGAATTTAAAAGATTCCTTAGTAAGCCTTATCTCATTTTGCCCCGTAGCCTTCCTGAAACCTGATAGACTATGTAGTTCTGGGGTGCAGAGCACCCACGTGTCTTAGGAATGGTTTCTGTTATACTCCTTGTTTCTGACATGCTAGAGACAAACTTACGAGTTCAGTTTGTATCTGTTCTGCCCCCAACAACTTTGCTTGTTGCCTTATCATATTATTCACTAGACTGTTTTGTCCACCATATTTAGTGAAGTGGTCAGTTATTTTGGTATGTTAATGTGGATATTTATGTAATGGGTCCTGTATTATGGTAATTTGGTCCCTATTAAATTACATTATATAATGTAATATACATTCCCAGAAAGACTTCAATGAAATGATGAGAAAAGAATGTTTAACTGCTAACAAATATACATCAACTAAAAGAAAAGCAACTCATCCAAAAAAAGAAATGTTTTAATTTGTTTCTTTAACCAGACCCTGGGTTTTCTTATGGGCCCAAAATATCGATTCTTTCTGCAGTATAGAGGATTAATATCTCGTGTTCATTTATCCAAAAATCTGTTGACTTGAGGGAGTTAGAAACCTTGTATTTGCAAGTTGTGATTAAACGTTAATTTCAACTAACAGCCATTGGAAGGATTCGCTACTATGAAATTAACAAGCTCGGCAGAATTTTCTTTGCTCCCTGACAGTAAATCAAACTGTGGAAACGCTGACACTATCTAATGCAAACCCTATCTCATGAAGCAAGTTTCATGCCCAGCCACCCACAACAGGGACGACCCTCATCTCTCAGAGGAAAGCTCCAGAGCTGACTGCGCCCACCAGATGGTCCAGATCACGGACCCCACGTGGCCGGCAGCGCTGCGGGTCCGTCATCCCTGGTGGTGATGAACTGGCGGGACGTAACGGTGAAGAACGTCAAAACAGTTTGTGTGTTGAATGTATGTTTCCACGCCTCTGTTTCTAGGCTTCACATATGAGGCCTATCCAGATGCTGCTCCCTAGGGAACGGAGTTCTGAAAGATGCTGCTGGAAAGCAGCACAGGTCTTGTTTGCCAGTGTAGCCACGGGACCACGCCCACCGTCCGCGCTTGGGACTCGGTTCCTCCCGCACAGACGGGCTGCAGATACTAGAGCTCACACACTCACGCGCACACGGTATTGTCAGCACATCCTCGTGGTCACAGGTCCCTGCCCATGGAGGTTTGGAGGAACGGAAGACTCTTTCAGACCTTGAGAAATCAGTCATTTTTATCCCAGCATCACTTTCGCCCAAATTTGCCAGTGTCTCTTTCACAGATTTTTCTATTTGATTCCAGTCCATTCCACAGGTCAACAGTCATATCTGCAGTTCTTGGGGAGCCATCCCCCTGTCACCAAGCTGCTTGCAGTGCCCTTGGACTTATGGCATGTTCTGGGAAGGGCTCTATCTCATCTCACGTTCTGATCCCTGGCGCCTTGGGCCCATCTGACAGAACTTCGGGCGAAAGACCTCAGCAGACGCAGAGTTTTAAAAACAGGCTCAGTGGCCACCCCAGTGACCAGGTCCTTGCCAGAAACCTCAACTTTAATTGACCTTTATGTTCAGAGGCATTCTTAGTTTGATATTTTACCATTTGAAAGTGAAAAATCAGACCCTGGAAGTCAGAGAACTACTTAAACTTCTGTATCACCCTACGAATCACTTGGAAAGGTCAGGAATACTTGTCTGAGTTCATCTCTTCTTTAGATTCTGGTCCAATGCACCCAGAGCAAGCAGGAAATGCCAGATGCATACCCAATCACCTAAAAACCACATGCTCATCGGTACGTTGTCTGTCTTCCAAGGTAGCACAGGAAGCTATTGAATGTAATGGACCAAACATCTCAAAACCAGCAAATTGGTGGCCATCATTCTAGCCTCCAGTAAGTTTTCTCAGCCTCTACTTCTGGCGCTGGAGCCAGTCTCATATAATTTAAAATCTTTTTGTTGTTTTAATGTGCACACTAGTCAACTTTTGGAAAAGATACACAGCAGAGTCCCGGATGTGCCCTCCAAGCCCAAGATGGTAAGTGGTACACACAGCTTCAGCTCACAAGGCACTGGCCACATGGCCGAGCCCGGTCTGATGATTTGGGAAGAAGAATAATTCAGCTGGAGGGAGGTGCAAATAGATTCTTTAAGATCCCAGCCATTTAAAAAAATTACATGATCAGACTGCTGACTCAGCTGCTTGGAAACTAATGCTTCATTAACCCTTGAACCCTACAAAATTTTATCATTTTCTTGCCACTGGCTCGATCCCAAGCAATTTTTAAAGCCTATATTGACTAACGCAGATGTTTCTTTATCACCATGTGCAATAAATCCTTGCATTTTAAAACCATTCACAGGAATAAGTGGCATGATGATAATGCCAAAACCTAGACCCATTCTCCCAAACCTTCCTCCCAGACTCCTGTTCTGACCTGCTGGTCTTCGGCTCACTATCCACGCACACATTTACAAAAGACATGTATGTCTTCATAAAGGAGCCACACCGAGGAGGAAATGCCCACCCGAAGTCAGTGCTCATAGGGCCAGAGAACAATGTATGGGCCTCGCCGGGCAAATTACCCTGTTTTCCTGTAACATTATTGGGGAAGAAAAATCTAGTTTGACTGGAATAATTTTGGTTAGAAATTAACCCTGCAAACGTGGAATGTGTTCTGTTATTTAATTGCCCCTTGAAATCGTAACTCGTTTTTTCTTTTAATTTCTAATAGTTTGGCATCATCATGAAAGAGATTTTCTAAGCAGGGAGTTGCTGGAGTGGTCCGTATGCTTGTCTGGCCCCAGGAGCAGGGGCAGGGACTAGACCACCACCCGAAGTAACAGCTAACGTGTGGGGACTTACAACCACATGGACAGTTGGGGCCGTGTTATGTTCAACAAGACCTTTTCCTGTTTGTAACCGTAGCTGAAGTCACCTGTCTGTGGTACCTGTGCTTGGAGGACATCGCACTGAGGCCTCTTAGATTTCCCACAAACCGTTGGCGGGTTGACTTCACTAACAACACAAGACGGCTCTGTTCTCTTACACACGCGAGAGCACAGCAGAAAATACATATCATGTACACCGTACTCTATAATCACGAGAAATACGAAACACAACACTTCTCTAATACATAAGCTGAGAGCTTAAACCCCAAGCCTCAGCGATAGTGTGCCCATACATAAGCACACGCATGCACACACACACACACCCGTGCCGCAGCACACTTGAATTGTGAAAATCACAACTAAAGAAGGCCAACCTTAGCGTTTCCCTGGGCAGACAGGGCCAGGGTCGTCCCACAGAAGCAGCCTAATTTAGCTGATTTTGTAAGACCGGCTTAACTCTAGGTCGTGTCTGGCTTTTGTGCCTGTGGAAATCGCAGGCAGAACTTGAACCGTTTCCCCGGATCAATGTGAGGGGACCACGGGGGACCCCCACGTTGTAACCAGTCACTGTCCCAGACAGTCTCAGACAGTCCCAGACAGTCCCCGCCTGCTGACTCTGCCGGCTGCTGGAGAACGACATGTCCCTGGGCACGATGTCCCATCGTGCTTTGGTCCGTGTGCTCCCAGGCTGCAGACCGACATTCGCTGCCTGTACGATGAACTTGGACTGATTCCCAACTCAGCGATGCATTTGTTTTCCTTCGGCTATTTCTAACCTTCTGAGAGAAGCTCTAGAGCATGCGCACACAATACACAGCACCGTGAAGACAGGCACATTGTCTGGGGAACATCTCCTTTCCTTACAGTTGCATTTTCAATGGATTATCGTGTTTAAGACATAGACACTTATCCCAATCCAAGCCCTGCGTTACAAAGAAGAAAATGCTTTATATATGCTAAAACAATTTGTTTTGAAGCTATTTAGCATATGGCGACTTAGGAGGTACCTTATCTTCTTTTTGGTTGAGTCTCTCTTTCAGTTCTTCCACTTGAAACTTCAGTTTCTTTCCCTCGGCTGCACTCCGATCCGCCCGGTGGCTTGCATGGGTCAGCTCTGCTGTTTTCGCCTGGTACTGTCTGCCGAGTTTGGGGTAGGCGTGGGGAAGGTCCGGCAGTTCCTTTCAAAAGAAAACAGGGGTGCCATTGTTTGTCATTGACCCCGATAAAGTCAGAAGAATAGCACCTCCTTTTGACAAAGGGGAAAAGCTTTTGAGGAAGAATTCAGGTGATGGATCTTTTCCTCTGGAACTCTGCATTTCTGCAATTAAACATCACGATAGGCCTATAACCTATAGGCCTATAACAGACGATGTATTTGTGGGTGGCTAAAGAGGCTAAGACAATGCAACTAACTCTTCCTGTTCTTGAGTAAATGATCCATTTCCTGTGTTATGCAAATTTAGATTTTACATAAGCTTTCCAAAGGGAGAAATCATATATTGATAATTACAGAATAAAATATAACAAAAATAAATGCAAGAAGCGTTTATGTGTTAAATCAGCAAAGGTATTCAAAGTTAACAGACTATTTGCTTTTAATAATTTTTCTAAGAGAAAGGCCCTAGCTGGGTGTCTCTGTGGGTTGGAGCATTATCTGGTACATCAAAAGGTTACAGGTTCAATTCCTGGTCAGGGCACATACCTAGGTTGCTGGTTTGATCCCCAGTTGGGTCATACACCAGAGGCAACTGATTGATATTTCTCCCATTGATGTTAAAATAATAATAATAATTTTTCTAAGAAAAAGCTTTGGTGCCGCCCCAGTGGCGCTGCTCTGGGAGCAGGAGTGGTCTTCCTGACACCACGTCTGCGTGGCCCAGGGGCCTGTGAAGGAACAGCGCCTTTGTCCTGCTGGGATGGGCTCTTCAGTCCGTCCCGTTACAACGGACACCACGCGAGCTACAAGTTAGCCAGTTACATTACTTGGCCTCAGCTTACTAATGGTGCTTCTCATTTTTAGTTAATATTTTCGGCGCCAATTTACTGTCATTGTAGAAAACCTCTTTATTGAAACTATGAAAGAATAACCTCTCGATTCTCAGAACATTCCATGATACTTGAAGAAAATCCAAGGGTATTTCTTTCATTTCCTGAAAAATGCAAACCAGAACCGCAATGAGCTATCCCCTGATATCTGGTCTTTATCGAAGAGACCAGAAATAACAAATCTTGGCGAGGGGGTGGAGGAAGGGGAACCCTCGTGGGCCATTGGTGGGGGTATAGACTGTGCAGCCGCCATGGGAAACGGTGTGGACTCACAGACTTGGAGAAGGGACTGCTGGTGGCCAGAGGGGAGCGGGGGTCGGGAACTGGGTGAAAAGGGTGGAGGGATTGAAAAGTACAGATTGGAGCTCTGGCTGGCGTAGCTCAGTGGATTGAGCTCAGGCTGTGAACCAAAGCATCTCAGGTTCGATTCCCAGTCAGAGTACATGCCTGGGTTGCAGGCCATGACCCCCAGCAACCGCACATTGATGTTTCTCTTTCTCTTTCTCCCTCCCTTCCCTCTCTAAAAATAAATAAAATCGTAAAAAAAAAGAAAAAGAAAAGTACAGATTGGTGGTCACGGAATAGTCACGGGGATGTTCACAGCACAGGAGACTACAACTGATCATATTGTAATGACTATGTCTGGTGCCAGGTGGGTACCAGCAACATCGGGGACCCCTTTGTCAACCACATGACATTCCAGCCACTCTGGTGTACACCTGAAAGTAATGAAACATAGCACTGAATGGAAACTGCAATTTAAAAATTTAAGAATTAAAAAATAAAATTAAAACAATTCATTAACCCCCCCCCCCCAATTTTTCTCTCTGGAGGGAGGTGGGCTTCCCTGCTTCTCAGAGCTACGGCCCTGCTGGGGCACACTTGGTCTCTGTTCTTCTCGGGATGACCCCCTCCCTCCAGGTGCCTGCCTGAACACACGTGACAGCAAAGGATGCAGGCATCCGGGGCGCACACCAGCGTGCCGTGCGCATGCGGGATGCTGCCTCTGAGACTCAGTTCTTCCCATGGCCTGCTCCTAGATGTCCTGCTGGAAGACATCCAAACAGATGTTCCTTTAAAGAGTTAATAATCTGCCGCTGAAAAGGGAATTAGGTAAAGAGTCCACATGGACTTCGAGAGCAAGCTTCTTTGAATACATTTGAAGGGTAGAAAAAACAATGAGGTGAAATATTTGTGTTTTACTTTAGCAGAGGAAAATCTCAATGAAAATTAAACATGTAGAAACTTATAGTACTTCGGATTATTTGTCAGCATGTAACCCTCTGTAGGTCCAAACATCTAAAGCAATACAGACAGACAGTGAATGTAATGCACAAGCCTTTCCAAGCATGTATACACATTAATAGTGTATCTTGATGTAAAAATAGTCATACACTTTGTGTGTATACAGATATTTTTGATGGGATAACAGTAGTTTCTCCAAGAGACTGACGGTCTGATGGTGTGAAGGGCTGGAGGCAGGCTCTAAATTCCGTGTATGGCTTACGCACTCCTGCGCCAGTCCGAGCTCCTGGAAGGAGGGTATTGCTTTCCACCGAGAATTAATTCTGTAGCTGATACGTCAAGTACTGGGGCTTCAGTGATTTTGATTCTGGCACGCTGACGGAACCAAATCGCTTTCTGCTAACTGAAAGTGACTTAATGAAAGTCCGGGAGGGACGAACCGAGCAAGTTTAAATGCGTGTTCGAAGGGAAACAAAATGGCAGACAGGGAATCCCATCAAGGGCTCTGTGCTATTTCTGTGAGTCCAGTTTTTTCTAATTATAATTCAGGAACTAGTTCAACTCTGATTTCTTTTGAGACGCTTTCTTGATTACCCAGATGGAAACAATGATTCACAGTATTATTTTAAAATTATCTTTTACGTAATCTGTTTATTTCTACCTATTTATGCAACCATTTCAAGGTACCATCGCTCCAGGTTTTCTTCCTTCCTTCTCTCTGGGTCCCCTTTCCTTTCCCCCCCTTTCCCCTCTTCTCCCTCCCTCCTTCCCCTCCTTCCCCTCCTTCCCTTCCTTCCTTCTTCCTTTTCAACAAAATTAGTAGATGACCAGCTGGGTCCGTGGTACTGTTATAAGCACCAAAGATACACATATAAAACCAACCTATAGGCTTCCTTGCAGAGAAAAATAACACCAGAAAAATTAGGTTCTCATCTTGGAAGGAAGATGTTCTCTGTATGCTTGAGAAGAGATATTCAAAGCAGCTAACAGCATGGCAGTCTTTCCAAGAGAAAGGAGTGTTGAATCTGAAACTCGAGAGCTCAGTGCAAATGACTATGTGGGGAGGGAAGACTGAGAGGGAGTATCTCCAGAAAGAAGTACAAGCACGTGCCGAGACCAGGAGTGAGGAAGAGTCTGGTGTACTGTGGAGGAGACTACAGTGAATGTGCGTGTGCGTGTGTGTGTGCACTAGTAATGTCTGTGCCTAGTTTGCTCAAGGGCAGTGAGTCGTTGTGTGTGTGCACATGCGTGTTTAATGCTGCGCCCTGGGACTGTGCACTGATTTAGACGCGTATTCATAATGCTAGGTGGCTAGTAGAATACTTCTTCAGGTTACCTAGATAGGCTATGCTAGATTGCAACAAATGTGGCTGTAGTCTCACAATACACATTTCATCATTCCACCCCAGAAGACCTGTTGATATTCATCATAGTAAAAATTTTTTATGATATTAAATATAATAAATAATAGCACCTGTCTCAAAGGGCTGTATTACATAGTGAACTGTGTGCACATGAATATATGTATATATTAGTACATATGTGTATAACAAATCATGTATATTTGTTCTATACAGAACTAATTATTATTGTTATTACCACAAGAACAAACCATCCCCACTATGCTCCCATTAATGCCTGCACACGTCGAAACACTGGAAAAACTCCAGAGGGAACTTACATGCTAAACAGTGAATATGCACATTTAAGTTCTTTACTGAGTAAATAGAACTTCATTCTACGTACTACTGTTCTACAATTTCCAAAGGGCACGTTCCATATCAATAGGGGAACAGTGCACACTCTCCGTCTCCACTCTTAAACATGTCTGCCTGCTAAAGGGATTTGAAAAAACACATTCTGGTCACACTGCAAGATGCTGATGGTAAGTGTGAACCAAATGGTCACGGCTCCTACCCTCAGAGACGAAGACTTCGGTGCAGGCACCTGGACACGTAATTGAAACCGAGCTTACTGAGCACAGGCCCACGGGTGATGGTGGCACACTCGAGGGTAACACGAGACAAACGTGACAGCTTTGAGGAGACTGAGGAAGTCACTCATCATGCAACTTACCCAAGAACTTTGCCTTGGAAAAAAAAAAACAAACCCTCACACAGAAGCCTCTTTTGATTCTACGCCCAATTCGAGTTATAAGCCGTGTCTCTGTTCCGCTTCACAGTAAATTTCTAAAGGGATTTTCTGTCGTCGTTTTATCCAGTGCCCTATGAGCAATTACTTTTCAAACTCTCTTTATTACTTATTCAAGGGACTCCAGAAAAACTGTTGTTGCCAGGTTGCTAATGGCTTCTAGACAGCCAAAGCTGTTACTCATCTGCCCTGTCTTGAACTTGGACTCAGCAGCTCAAAAATGACGTTTCAAACCATAAGACGTAATGACTCAATGTGAAGAGGAGTAAAATAACACAATGGGAAAATTAGCCCCTCAAGAATTTGAGCTGCCATCTGAAAATGCTATAAAAAGAATCATAGTATCATGAAAAGATGATATTATATTTTAAATATATACTTATATATTTTACTTTATTTATTTTACTTTATTATATATATTTTATATATATATATTTTACTTTATTCCTTTAGGAATATACATTATAATAAAACAAAGTGTGAGAACAGAAAGAGTAGGTTTGAAAAAGACCCAAGTAGAATGTCTTGAAAAGCTGAAGTTCTAGAAATTAAAAAGTCAATGGGTGAGCTAGGTAGAAGTTTAGATTTATTGAGAAAACTCCTCAATAACAGTCTAACCAGCAGGTCAGAATTACATGGTAGAGAACACAGCTAAGCCTTGTGAAAAAACTATGATGAAGGCCCAAAAGGCAGATACTGAGGCCCAGACTTGCACACCCCGTGCCCTCTGGATCCA